CACAAAATCATAGCTCATCCTGGAACATTTTAGTGAAAGGCAGGGAGAAGCAAAACTGAACTACACMACTGCAACTCAACAAAGCTGTGAAGAGAAGGTAAAAGGATTAGTGTCTACCAAACACCAGGAGAGAATAAAGCAGTTCAACCAAACAGATGGGAGAACAGAAGGGGAACCACAGGAAAAAGCAAAAAATAGGYTTAGCAGGGAGGAGAAGGTAAAATCTATTAAAAAGCTCTCAGGAACAAGAGGTCTTGTGCACAGTCTACACTCATTAATACCGTCACTGCATCAAATAAAGCTCCCACAGAAAAGGAAAATTTACAAGATTGGAAAATAGGAGATCTTACACATCTTATATTAGCAAAATGTTTTAGTGAGAAAGCTTAATAAGCTTTAAGCTTTAATTGCATGATCAGGAGTTTTAAAACACTGAGTGCCAAATGAGTTTTAAAACACTGAGTGCATCATTCAAGAAATTACAAACAAGGTGGAAAGAGTTTTGTTTAAAATATACTTGGGCTTGCAAACAAATTAAAAGTTGCTGTGCTGCGACTGGTGAGGGATAGGAGCAGCTCCTGCTGAGATGCTGTTAATTAAAACGTGTCCATACAATTTACCATCAGCTCCTGGTGGGTCAGAAGCTGCAGGGAACCAGGTGAAGGGATGGGAGTGTGAGTCCTGAAGCCTCTGCCCCTCCAGGCTGGCACACCAGGTGCTCCCAGGGCACAGCAGGGCACTTCATGGTTAGTGAAGGCAGTACAGAAAGTATTGTGAGGATTCACTGAAGTGAGCATTGGTAAACTGAAAAAGATAAAACWAAGCCCRGAGGGGRRAGGAATAAAAGCAAACCAACTTTATCTTCCCACAGAAGTATATTCTTACATGCAGATGAAACAAACAACAAACCACAGCAAAACTCATTTGTGGYGTTTGGGATAAACCAGAGCAGAGCATCCACTGCTCACCTGGCACTCAGGCACTGCTGAGCTTTATCTGCTCACCCGGTCCTGACCCAAATTCAGCATCTCCACGCTGGGCCATGCCATCACCACTGCCAGCATCTCCTCGCTGGGCTGCAGGACGGGCCCTGGTGCTGGGATTTGGAGCCAAGGAGGCATTTATGGCTTTCAGAGGGGAGTGAGCACCACACCGAGGTGGAACTCGGTGCCAGGAGCAGCAGCTTCTGACGTGTGCCCAAAATGCAGTGAGTGATATTCATCCCTGAGACAGGAAGGTCCCTGCTGGATATTTAGGAAAATTTCTTCCCAGACAGGACTGTCAAGCACTGAACAGGCTGCCCAGGGCAGAGGGGAGGCACCATCTCTGGTGCTCAGGAACAGGGTTTGTGGTGGGTTTGGCAGTGCCGGGGGAATGGGTGGATTCGACCTTTTCCAACCTAAACAATTCCATAATTCTGTTTCTATGAATGCAGCTTGATAAGGACAACCTAGAGATCTCCAGACATTTCAGTCACACTGATTTTTAATGTGACACACTTAAACAGTTCAGAAATTCATAAAGATAGTCATTAATAAAGCAAAATGCAGGTAAGTGAAAGATCACCTTTTGAGCATGCCTACCTACAGAATGCAGCATGCCTACCTACATAGCTTCCCACAGAACTTTTCCTTTTACACGATCCAAAATYTCATCAAAACATGCCAGAATGACTCACAGCATTTACAGCACCCTCAGTTCTTACCTAACCTCACACATGTGCTGGTGTAAGGTGTTACTGCATTCACACAAAGGTAAAAACAGCCTTGTGGTTGAAGGCCAGGCCAGGGAGTCAGGAAGAATTAATAACTACCTAGAAATGCTGGGAGAGAGACAGGCGAGGCAGGGAGTGCAGCAGAGCAGCTGGCAGCACTAACCTACTTTCTGTTCAGCATTGGTGGGGCACTGCCAGCCAGGGCGTCACTCAGAACCTCCCCCTGGCAGCCCCAGCTCCTCAGCAAACCAGAGACAAGGCATTCCTTGCAGGGCAGACTGGCTAAACTGCTTCTTTTGTTTGTTTTAAGTCAGCCCCTGAAAATAACTTTAAATCAATGCTTTCAAAGCGCTTGTGAGATTAGATGTGACACTGAACCAGCACTGCCAAACTCCTGTGCCAATTGACTGATATTGTTACATCCTCTAAATGACCACTGTCCATCCAGAACACAAACCCACTCTCCAGCGTGAAGCGCAAGCACAATTATACTGAGCCACCATGACAGCTTAAATGAAACTACTTGATTAAACAGCATGTCTCCATAAATAATCAATAGCACTCCTCAATGCCTGCCTCAATAAAATGACTGTATTTATCTGATGTGCTGCATCAAAATGACATTGCTCAAACTCAAGTGAGCAAAAGTGGCCACAAGGAAAAAACAGCAAAGACAAAGGGTGACTCTACCCCAAAAGGAAGGTAGTGCTCAGTCTGTACATTACCATAGCCAAAGACAGAGAAAGGTATATTTTGGAGCAAGCTTATAGAKTGTAGGAAGGAGAACAAAAAGCCCACAGACAATGGAAGGCTGATTTGGAGTAACATTCATAGACAGTCTTAGAAAATGTCACAGAATAACACAGGGACCCACCCATTAATCTGATCTCTCTACACTGAATAAGAGATTTTAACTATCATTTCTTTTTGAGATCTCTTTTGCTTTTCATCTACATCTGTAGGCTTGTTTTCTGACAAAGCCCATTTTGAAGGTATCTGAAATGGAGATGACAGTACCTGATACAATTATAATGAAAATTTCTGCCTTGACTTTAACTCGTGATGCTCCACCAATCACTCCCCAGCCACTGGGCARCAGCCTACCAAGCTGTGAATTTTTCATTTGCTAAAACTCACAAATCCAGCACCCAGACAACCTCAGTGACTTCATACTCTCGAATTGGCAACTGCAGAAAATAGTTGTGTCAGCAACTGGCACAAGTCAAACCTTTTTTTTGGCACTTCAAGGGATTTGCTGTTTTTCCAGCAGGAATGAGAAATCGTGGCTGGGATTTTCTGGTCATGACCAAATCGACCAGTGCTATAAAATCCGTGGCAAGCACCAGAACAGAGTGGGAATGGGAACATGCAGCAGAACCAATCCTCTGGTCAGCATGACCTGCTTAGTTACTGATGCTTGTAATTGTCACGGTGAGGAAACCCKCACAAAACCCCTGCAGCCACTGTAGCAGCAGCAATTTAAATTGGACATATGATCCCTGCAACACCCAGGGTGCATTTTGCACAGCATCTCACAGTAACACAGCATCTGTGACACTGTTCAGAACAACTCTCCATTTGCCCATTGCAAACAGACAGAAAACATAAAATTCAGTCTCCTTTTCTCCCAGAACACTCAGCCCTTAGAGACCCAGCCTGGAGACAGCTTGCTGCCTTCATGCCCAGGCTCTGGCAGCACCCTGACAGCAAAGGCATTTTTATTTTTGCTCCTATCAGCTCCACTGGTCCATTTATACAGAACATCCAGTGTTCCCATCAGCCAGGACACCGGGACGACAAGCCCCTGCCTGGAGGAACTTAACAAGAGTTTAAATTAGCTCTGACTGTAAACAAAGAGAAAAAGGCAGGACTGCACATAAAAACAATTATGGAATG